TTCCGAACTCCAACATATCGCTTACATAAGCTTATGAGTCTCATAAACTACCAAAATCACGTCTGTTGGGTTTCTCAACGTCTGTTTAAAGCTTACTGGTTCCATAAGTTATCGAATAGATAGATATCTACTCGAAGATGGATGGATATCGGCTTCATAACGTCTGACGCAAGCGTGTAGAGTTTGTTTTCATTTTTAGAACAGAGCGATTCTAACCTAACATAACCTATTCTTATTACATAACAGCATTGCATAACAGTTTTGTTTTATTTAACGTATACAACTTTATTATTATTATTTAAAATGGATATTTCGAGTCATTCTTCTGATGATGAAATTATTGAACTTCTAAGTTATATTAAACCGCCAAGACGGTATCTTGAACGAGAGCACCAAATGAACAAATATGGAGATTCTGAATTTCGCGGCAGGTTTCGTTTAACGAAACACTGTTTCAGTGTATTATTGGACCTTATTGGGGACTACCTTAAAACATATATTGTGAGAAGGAATTCTGTTAAGCTGAATTCAGATAAAAACATCAAATCTGTGGCTGTTTTTGGAACATCTTCAAACCATATGTTTACCGACCGATCAAAATTAGTTTTTTTGTGGCAGCATCTAGCTTGCGATGCACAAAAGTGAAAGTTCTTTACTATCCGCTTCTTTTTTACCGGTATACCGCAACATGTCAAAGAACACATATTACAACAAATTTAGCCAGAAATTTCCACAAATAAAAGTGTCCACTAAAAGGTTGCAAAAATGGTCGTTAGAGAATCTGCATATTTTCCAGCTTCTGCTTCAAACCTTTCGAGTTTGATCTTGAACTTAACAACCGCTTTAATGTGTCTTTGAAGCATCAAGCCTAATAGTAATGCGGCTGCTGACGCCCGTCCATTTCGACGCGCATAATTGAGGAGTTTTATGTTTCAGATGGTGTCCGAAGAGTCCAGCTCCGAATCGAGCGAAATTCACAATTCCGCCACCGAAATTTCCACCGACTCGGAATTCGCTCAGGATGAGCCGACGCCGACGCGAGAACTGCCCTCGATAGCACTGAACGACTTTTACGTGACGAAAACGCGAGGAAGCGGAAAGGCGAATTGCCCGAAGCGATTGCAAGTGACCAGCGGCTTTATCCAGCGCCATCAAAACGAGAAATCCAAGCCCCAGCCCGATATCGAACTGAAGTTGAGCCCTTTAGTGCCTGCGACGCCCACTTTCAAAAAACCGACGCCAATCTCATTGGCCCGCAC